CGTCCGGCTCGGCCTCCCAGAGTGCTAGGATTACAGGCATGAGTCACCTCGCCTGGCCCATGTAACCATTTGTAAGTGTGCAGGTCTGTGGCATTAAGCACATTCACATTGCTGTGCAGCCGTCACCGCCCTCTATCTCCAGAACTTTCATCTTCCTCAGCTGAAACCCTGTGCCCATTAAACACCGAACTCCGCATTCCCTCCTCCCGTAGCTCATGCTTGTTGTTTTTTAACATAGTTTATTACACAAAAATGCAATCCTATTCTATATACTTTCCTTCATCTTTTTGCTTTTAACAGTATATCCTGGAAATATCTCCAAGTCAATTATAATTCTAAGACTTTGTGATACTGTGTTTATTTGACCTTGTGAATTGAAAAAAAAAAGATTCCGAAATATTTGTTTTAACCAAGAGACTTATTTTATTTCTATTTCTGTTTTTTCTGTGATATTACAAGTACGAGTACTTCTGAAGCTCCCTTGATGCACACTTTGAGGATTTTATAACTCAGATTGTGAAACTTCAGAGTTCCATGTTCCTGAGCTTCTCTCATCTCATTGGTATCTCTTGTTTGTGCCGGTTCTTGCTCATAGCATCTTGTTTACTTTTGTGCCTGGCCTGTCTTTGGTTGCGTGTTGGTCTTTTTATACTTGAAAAGTTATTTAGAGGAAGAATTGCAGGCCTAGGATGAGCATATTTGCTTACAGAGAGGATTTTTCTTTGCTTCTGTCAGCTGCCTGGAGACATTATTAGTCTGGGGTCTCCTTGCGCCAGGTTTAAGGCTTGAGCTGCCCTGCGTACCTGCAGCACAAGTCCTTGGGGGTGGGAGTGAGGGGGCACAAGTACTGGGGGGTGGGAGTGAGGGGCACAGGTCCTAGGGGGTGGGAGTGAGGGGCACAAGCTAGGGGGAGTGAGGGGCATAAGTCCTAGGGATGGGATGAGGGGCACAGTCCTAGGGGATGGGAGTGAGGGCACAAGTCCAGGGGGTGGATGAGGGGCACC